GCTTCTTTTTGTTGACAACAGCAGATTTATAAATGAGTCTCATTACGAATACGTCGCAATTATATCGCATTGTCACATACCTTGTAAAAATTCATAAAAATGTGACTGAGCACATCATACAGTAAATTTCAATCATCATACAGTAAACCAGCAACAATCACCCCTTCCTCTTCTCATCGAAGACATGCGATACAGTACTAAACAGTCTCTCGCTGTCGGTGCTTGTAATGATTTTTACGTCTTTCTCGGACAGTTTTAAATGCTTCCACACTGCTGACGTGTGCTGCATTAAAGAGTGCGCGCCTCTCACTCTTCGCTGGTTGCCATTTGATCGCGTCATATCATTGTTCGGTACAATTTAGTCGGTCTTTTCACTTATTCGGCCGAACACTTTTTTTGCTATTTTCGGCCGAATAATTTCGGTTGCCTAACATTCGGTGCATCCCTAGTAGAAACGCTAATACTTTGTAAACAATTAATTGACTTTACTGTTTGACCAGGAGCCAACAAATATTTGTGTACAACTCAGTCAGCTCCGAATAGTTTTTTTTCTTCTTGTGTTGGGAGAGGGTAGGGGATGTGAATTTTCACAGGAATTATTATTAACAAAACATTTCGATCTGAAAAATCTATATCTGCGAGGATAATGTAGGAATCTAAAGCTTGGGAGGGACTCAAGCTAATGCAGGAAAAAGCTTAAGGAACAGCATGGCAACCTAGCCAAGCAAGTTTCAAAACAGGGAAATGACAAGAGAGGAAACTTGAGAGCCAGAAAACCTTTTGCTTGGAAAGAAATGGGAAAGCAAGATAGTTATTATCAGTACAGCCCAATTAGAAAGAAAAGTTTAGCGTACAGGCTATTAGTTAACCCTCCTACTCGTCTACAGAGAGCACTCATCTATGAGACCGCTGATGAAAGCGGTCAGTGAACCATGATGTTTGACCCATGTGAATTCACATCAATCATGAATGCCAAGAATCTTGTGTCATATACGGTAACACTGACCAAATCGCCTCTCATAAAAGAGTTTTACACAAGCCGCTGAACCACTAATAGTTTCCAGAAAAACGTCCAGTAAAGCCAATTCCTTCTCATTTTGCCTAAAAAATGGCCACATACTGTAACTGCTGAATTATGTTCTTGGAAATTCAGGGCATTAATAAATAGAAAATTTGGCTACGGTCAATTGTGGTCTAATATGATGATAAGTGCATGCAAAATGTTTAAAATGAAATGGACTGAAGATTTCCAGTATTAAAAATACTGTATGACACAAAGTTGGAATTCAAGAACACTTGCATATTTAAAACCAACCACATTACCAGTCACTGTAGCTGAGGAAAATGTATTGAACTAGTAGCCAACTGTCCCATCGTGGCATGTGAGGCACACTGCAAACAAATCTGATATGATTTTCAAATATGATCTAGGACTGGGTGTTCATGCACAAATTTTGCAAGTGATAAAATCCAATCTGACCATCCAGACGCATTTCATTGATTTTTATATATAGATAGAGAAACAGATCTGACAGCAGGATTCTCCTTACCTGCCACTTTTTCGTCTGACTCTCTGTTGCCATCATCTGAATACCGTGCAAAATCCAAGGAGTCCAATGTACTAATGCTGCCAGCTCGATCTGGAAACAAACAAACAAAAAATGGATGTTAAATTCAGTGGTTCCCACCAAATTAAAGGGTTTCATAAAACACACCAATATTAGATAGAACACTAAACTATCATTTACAGAAAGTAAAGTGGTGACATTTTGAATTGTTTAGGCAAACTAAAGCAGTCAGCAGTTATAGAGAATAGGCTCTACGTAGGCCAAAACTTTCCAGATGAACACGTCTCTCTCCATCTGTCTGCACTGCTGGAAGGAAGATAGAAAAGTATTGCCAACGTCAAGCCCCCACATGGACTCCCCTATTTCTGCATGCCAACGATTGTAGTGTGCCGTGTACACTGGCGTGGTAACACATTATTCAGCAACAAACCTCATTTATTAATTTTTTGCCATTTCAGATGAATAATGAGGATATAATAATGGTGTTCAGGTACTTATCTATGCATTACAGATTCCATTTTATTTGCATATTTTTTAAGGTCCAGGGGCCTCATGTATAAAACTTTATGTAGATTTCATCCTAAATGTGTGCGTACGTACAAAAGCTAGATTTTGCGTACGTACAAAAGTTTTCAGATTTATAAAGCCATGCATACGCCAGAACCTGCGCACAATTCCCTTTGTAATACCCAGTCAGCGGAAGATTGTGCGTACATGAATCTCCACTATCGACGGTACACCTTCATCGATAACGAATGGGTGACGCAGACAGCACACACGAACACATGCTGCAATGCCTGCCTGTGACGAGGAGATTGTGAATAAAAAAAATGAATATTAGTCGAATTTAAAATAAACATTTGCATTTGAATGCAAAAATGGTACAATTGAATGTTAGGTGTGCGTCAGGGAGCATCATCAGTGTAGCACGAGATGCGGTGATAATGATGTAAGTGACGTTGTTGCATTTTAATGTTTTGTTAGTTTACTTTAGCCCACGAGATGCGCCACTGCTGCGTTATTCGTTCAAAATATTAGAGAAATATAGTAGCTCAATGCGTAGAAGATCTTGATTAGGTTAAAACCGAAACCAAGTCATTCACACAGAACGCATATTCAGCACATTTTTTAGATGGACAAATATGACTTGCTGCACTCGTGTCTCATGCAAGAGATGCAAAGAAAGCCATGCATAGTTAAAACAGTTTAAACGTTTAGGAAACGTGACGCGAATTTGTGAAGGTTTATTTCATTTCACTGCATCTCATATGTTTTTAAATGCAATCTGTCATCGGACCTTTTCAAACCAGCCAATGGACTGTTTCATCAACGAGCGCATCCATCGTCTGTCGTTACCGCCTATGTTCCAATATGATCAGACGAATCAAGTTCACATCAATGATCATTATTCGTGCAAAAGTATTTTCTCAGAACATGAGTTTTGCTATTTAGAACACAATTTAAAGCGGAATTGTCATACGCCAAGCAATCCTCACTGTGATTAAAACATTAAATCGCATACCACAGGAAAATAGTTCGAAAGCAGCACATCCACTGCAAATATTTCTGTTTAAATTCATATACAAATGTTGTAATTTCTGGATAATAATTTCATGAAATTTCAGTGCTTAACTTCATTATTCAGAGTGTCATATTTAATCTAAATGTGTATGTCAAATGTAAAACACTTTAAATCATTCTGTTTGCTTCCTTATTTCGTTCACTCCAGTAAAAGAGTACGTACGCATGGTCTAGACGTGTCCGTACGGTGCGCACATATTTACGCCTAGTTTTTTTATAAATCCCGAAATGTGCGTGGAAAATTGCGTACGCACATTTCCATGCCCATTTTGTGCGTACGCAACGTTTATACATCAGGCCCCAGGTGATAAGAAATCAAATTTTCCTTGCTCTTTTGCAAGGACACAAATTGAACTTGATACTGAAGCTCATGAAAACATACTTTAACTTTTAGAACTCAAAACATCCTCCCAATTACAATAAGATAACTTAGTTACACATCAACAACATCTACTGTGTGTTCATAAATATGGCTTGCCCAGTCACACTGAGTTGTATTTCTACTATTACACCAGAAGAACTAATAATTGCAGTGAAAAGTAGAAAAATCTTGTTCTATTCCTGACTGTATGTAGCACCTACAGCTCTGCAAATCCTTTTGAATGATCCCAATGGTAGAAATGAGTGGTTACTAATTAATTTTTTTAACAAGACTCCTGACAATTAGAGACTGACTTTAAAAGTTTGTTTTGCACAAAAAATAAAAATAAATAAATAAAAGGACTCTTTTAGTTTAAATTCCTAATCTCCAGTTCATGGCTATGGCAACAAACATTCCTTTTGGAAAATGGTCATAAACAGCGACTTAGCTAAATGATTGTTAGCACAAAACCCTAGTAGACAAGTGTAGTTCAAGGAACAAAATAAGTAAAATCAAATAACATATAACAAGTGATATGGCCTTTTAAATGGCTATGGCACCCTAGTTTCTTTCACTCAAGCTAAATATCACAGTGACTTGAGCATGTGTCACATGATGGCAGTAAAGCTCATGCACTCAGTCCTGTGACTGTAAAGCTGTCCATGTAGGGAAGCGACAACATCACATCCACCATTAAAATGAGAAAAATTACTGGCCTTCAAAGAGTAGCAGGTGATTTTTTTGTGTTTGCATGCCAACGTGAGCTTGTATTCTGTATAAATGCAGCAGGCTAAGTGTCAAATGACACTCTTGTAGTTAAATTAGTGGACCTGCCCATCACAGCCTTGGACAGTGAAGTATTGATGAAGGAACAGTTTTGTGTCTCTCTCTGGGCGTGACTTGAATGACAATGCTGAGATCCGACATGTGAGAGTGCCACGGAGCTGTGCTGAATAAACGTCTTGTCAAACTGGTTGACAGGGAGGGGCTGGAGGTTCTGCGAAGGCAGTATGTGGGCCTGACCTATGCTTAAGATGCTTCCTGCAAGGAAAGATACTGAAGGGCTCTTGTTCAATATGTCAGGCGAGACATGTGACTCGTGAGTAAGCAATAAATGTGCAAACATACTTCTGTGTACTGTTCACATAATCAACACAATGGTAGAAATAATTTAAACTCTTTCTCATATTCCAGTTTAATATGCAAAAACTAAACTATAAGTAAACCATTCGTAAGTTGATTCCCATGAAAAGTGTAACATCAAAACATTGCTATACTACTTAATGTTATATATTTATATGACATATGTGACAACCAAAGGGAGTTTATGTGTTCTGTCAGGAGCTTATCATCAGTGAGCACACAGAACTTCACATCTCCAATCGGAATTTGGCTACTAAGTGTTTTGCATTAGCAATAATAGGTTATTATAGTAGCTCAGGAATCTGAGGGAGTAATAAACACTTACGCTACAGGAAGACATGGCCTATACAAAAAGGAGCCATTTCTTCTTAGAAACAGGCTACCAAAATCAATAAATAAAGCAATAACTACAAAGGTCGTTTCCACAATAATTAAAAACCAAAGCCACACCTTCAGGGCCACATGAATGCGAAGGTTTAGGCCTACAGGCTTAGGAAGGACCCCAGTAGGCCTGGAGACAAGTTACTTAGCCTTAGGGCTGGACAATAATTCAATATCAATATGTATCGCGATATAATTTTTTTCAATAACGGTGATATGATTTTTAAACACATTTCCGATATTTCGATATACATTACCAGTGTTTTCCATACATTTATTTATTTGTGCCGTTTGACTTCGTTGAATAAACATGAGCACTGCACGTTTCAAAATCAAAACGTGGCGCGGGTGTTTTATATGAATGAATCTCTGAAGGGAACCGACTGTCTTCAGAAAAGTTTCGATGGCATTTTCATTTGATCTGATAAAGAAGCGTTCATGAGCGGAGCTGCTTTGATTACAGCCATTACTGGAGAAACCGCTAGTTCTATCACTCTAAAAGCGCCTCCTGCTAGCAGAGCATGAGTTTTCATTTTAAATAAGCCCGTCTCCAGCAACATTTCCAGTTTTTGTTGTTGTTCAATTTTTTTGTTTTCTGCAGCGACTCGGAGCACTTTTCATACCCTTTTTTCTGACTGAAGCACATTTGTTTATATCGTGATATCAATTTTGGCCATATCGTCCAGCCCTACTTAGCCTATGTTTTTTTTTTCATGAGATTGCACGCATTCTTCGTTCTTCTCATTATTTTACTCTACCTTATACTTTTACTCCCACTTTTTCACTTCAACTATATGTATGCACCACAGACGTGCAACAAGCTATTTTCTCATGAAAACAGCCTTTTCACCATGTAAGAATGGGGTACATTTACAAAAATGGGGTTGGATCATAATAGCTTAGCACAGGTCACATTAAATAAATAAATTCACAAAACCTGTGGCCAGACACCTATTATACACTACCATTAAAAATGTTGGAGTCGGTAAGATTTTTTTTAAAAGAGGTCTCTTATGCTCACCAAGGATACATTAATTTGATCAAAAATACAGTAAAAAAACAGTAATATTGTGAAATATTACAATGTAGAATAATTTTTTTGTTTTAATATATCTATATCTAAATGATCCTTCAAAAACTGTTCTAACATGCTGATTTGGTGCCAAAATAAAATTTCTTATATCAATGTTGAAAACAGCTGTGCTTATTAATAGTTTTGTGGAGGCCTTGATACATTTTTTTTTAGGATTCTTTAATGAATAGAAAGTTCATAAGAACACCATTTATTTGAAATGGAAATCTTTTGTAACATTATAAAAGCCTGTACTGTGAATTTCTTTCAAAAAATATTCTTGATGCCAACATTTTGATTAGTAGTGTATACTGACTGACATATGGTTTCAATTTTACTTTTATATATATATATATATATATATAAAAAAAAAAAACATCCAGTGAGCTTTACCACTTACAATGACAAGAACAACCCTGGCCTGAATCTTGACATTGTCGATAATTTTAGGTCTTTATAATTTATTCTTAAATTTAGTGTGTATGTAGGCGGTATGTCAATGCAGGTCTGCAGAATGTTGTATTGTAAGAATCGGTAGAAAATGTAAATACATTTATAAGGCTTTATAAGGCCTAATGGAGTATTCTGGTCTGTTTGTTGTGTCATTTGGAGCTCAATGAATAGGCTCGGGGGAGGTGGGGGGCACAGTCGATTGTGCGGCGAACACTTTGATGACAACCCCACAGCTGCAAGCATCATACAGGTTACAATATTCATTCAGCGTTGCTTCAAATCCTCTCACATCCTAAACACACAGAAGCCTTTTCATCCCAGAAACGCTTCTCAAGCGGATGCTGCGTCTCTCTAGCAAAGGGTAAAATATCGGCGAGACTGAGTGAGGTGTTGATAATGTCTCCTCCTGCAATGACGTGACAGAAGCGTGGTTGAGAGCCATCTGCTCCCTCTCAGCTGGTTGCCAGATCCTCTTTTGGGGAGGGGCTTTGCTCCATAATGCTAATAAAACCCTGTGGTTCCTAAAACCTCTGTGTTCTTAGAGCCAGGTCAATACACAGCCGTCAGCGGCAATTAGGCATGTATTCAAAAGCCATTTATGTGCAGTAAGCTTACGGTTCAGTATACAATACAGACTAAGTAGTAGAAAAAATACTGTTTAAAAAATATGGATTGGCTGAAAGTAACAGGCAGCCCAGGTCTACTCCTCTAATTTCTACAGCATCCCCCTCTCCCTGGAGAGCGGTGTCACCAGCTGATGAGGTGAGGTCACATCCTGTCTTTCGGTCCGACACCCTAAAAAATAACCACAGAAAGAACCACCACGGTTCTTTACTGGCATCGATGGCTCCATGTAGAAACTTTAACATCCATGGAACCTTTCCATTTCCTTTATAGTGGAAAAGGATTCTTTCAATGATTAAAATGTTCTTCACACTAAGAAAAAAAAAGGTTCTTAAAGAGCTGTCCACTGAAAGGCTCATTGAGGAACCCAAAATGGTTCTTCTATAGAATCACTGGGGGAAAAACAACCTTTTGGAACTTATATGCCATTTTAGAGGTCTTAGAATAGGATTGTTTTATTTCTGAGAGTATCATTTGTCAAATCAAGGAATTTATAATTACATCAATTGATTTTACATAACGAATTAAGGTTTTCACTTACTGTGGAAAGGTTGCAGGTATAGGGCTGCACGATTATGACAAAAATCATAATTGTCGATTATTCCCTTGAAATTGTGATTGCGATTATTAATTACGATTATCACAATTTACATTGAATGATGTTTATAAACAAGTTGAAAACACTAACTGAAAAACTTTCAATAGTATTAAGCCTCAAATGTCAACTATACATCGGATTGGTTTCTTCTTTAAATTATAAAAAAGTAAAAATATGAATGGTATTATAGTGTTATACTAAAACTAAAATAATGGGGAAAACTCTTAAGATAACATGTAGAAAGAAAAAAACTCATCTTAAGCGTGCAGAATAACATAAGTGGACTTTTACGATTAATTGCCGCTTTGAACGATTACGTAATTGTGGCATCCATAATTGTAATTGCGATTAGAAATTCGATTAATTGTGCAGCCCTAGTTGCAGGACTACATGCAATTTTAGTGATCTTAATCATATCAGATCTAAGCCTCTTCGATGAAGGAAAGATGGTTGTCATGCGAAACGGAACAAATATTCAGATATAATACTCTTTGCAATAGGCATCTGATTAGATGGATTAATGATTGTTTTGAACCATGAATAAGCCTGCATGAAAGCCATTTTAACATGCCCACCCACGTGATCAGTCAGCAGCAGCTGAGAAAATGTGCAGTTGATGTGCACTTATGCCAGGCATTCACGCAAAAACACCCCGCATAAAAATTGAGGAATAATTGTAATACAACCAGGACAGACCTGAAAGTATTCAGGTAGTCTAATATTTGATCAGTTTTTCCTCATTCAATCAAACTGTAGAATACCTGCGGTTATTCCACGAGCTTCAGCAACACACAGAAATTTTCCATTATGTTATCATCATTCAAGATTCATGAGACACTGATTTAAGGCCTGTGCACACCAAGAGCGATAACTATAAATAGAACTATAACGATAAGTATATTAGCATCCACACACCAGTTTTGCCACTTTAAACACTCGAGTCAGCTGGATTCTGATTGGCTGTCAATGTTTTTGCAATGGCCATTGTTTTGTTTTTTTTGTTTTTTTTGAATAAACATTATTTTAATGAAAATGAGTATTTATTTTTAACATTACTATTTATTTATTAAAATGTTGACTATTTAACATTATTTTTATTTACTGATATTATAAATGTTAATTTGTGAATGATGGTTACAGCAGTTTAATCCACAACACTTTACTTAAAAAAAATTAAAAAAAAACTCCCCTGAGTCTTTGTGTCACTGGTTAACATTTCCCCCCATAATTTATGCAATATTCTATAACTGTCCAAACACATCAGAACAAAAGCTTGCCTAATTATATGGTGAATGGCAACAGTTGCTAAGGTAGAATTTGTCAATAACATTTTTTAAGGGTCTTAAAGGGACAGCTTCCCCCAAAAAGATGATTGTCATCATTTACTCACTCTGATGTTGCAAAACTGTAAGATAATCTTTCTTCTGTAGAACATAAAATAAGCTATTTTGAGAAATGTCTTTTTTGTCCAAATAATAGAAGTCAATGGTAACCAAAACGTTTTGGTTGCCAGTATTCTTCAAAATATCTTCTTTTGTGTTCCACAGAAGAAAGACACCAGCTTTGAAACACCATGGGGGTAAGTAAATGATGACAGAATTTAAATTTTTTGCATGAACTTTCCCTTTAGATTATTGATTTTTGTAACTGATTTCAAAGAACAAACAGCTCCTTTTAACAAAGGGTCGATTGTCTTGCAAAAAAAAAAAATCTTTAATCAATGAAATTCTTTTATAAATGATCAACACTATAATTGGATTTAGCAATTGTCAATCCACACTGCAACTACATGCAACCTAGTAATCAAGAAAAACAAATTCAAAAGCCATGCTTTGAAAGGCAAATGGGAGACAGATGAGTGCACGCTATCAGATAAAAAACTTCATTTAGGAGCAAAGGTATAAGAAAGACAGACCACGAAAAGAATTCCTGATTACACCAAACAAAGTACATCAATCCCACATATCACTGCACACAGTCAGGTTTTACATACCCCTCATACGAGCATCTTTTTTTCTCCTCTTTCTATCCTGCACCTGCGCAGCTGAGAGTCAGTGGGAAGACTTCACATCACACAACAAAGACACAATTCAGCCCTAAAAATGCCTCCTCAACAAACCAGTGTGCTTGAATGCACTAGACTGAAGCACAATAAACCGCAATATGAAATTAACAGGTAGTCTAGGTCAGTGTTTCCCAACCGGGGTGCCGTCTGTCGAGAGCAGGGGTGCCGTGTAAAAAAATCCTTTTTTAATATTTTTAAATTGCTAAAATGTTCAAAAAAAGCATCTATCATATAATATCCATTTCTGATGTCGCCAATAATTAGAGATGCACCGAAATTTTGGCTGCCGAAAATTAGTTCACCGCTCAGGTTTCACTTTCACGTGGTGTGACGCTCTGCGTATTATCCCGCTCTATGCGTGTGCGCTCCGCTCGTAGCTAGAGTACTAACAGCTGCTGTGTTGGTGTATTTTATGGCTGTTTAAAGAGCAAAAGAAAAGAGTGGCTTTGTTACAAAACCTAGTGAGCTGTCTACCTAGACAGCATTTTTGGGCATTAATTTAGGTGCTAATTAGGTGTCCTACTGTAAAAAAATAAATAAATAAACCTCTTAAACCAGACTAATATGGTCTCCCTGCCTGGTTTACCTAGTCTAGCTGGTCTTCCAGACTGGCCAAGTGGAGTTCAGCTAGTTTAACTGGTCGACCAGCTGACAAGTGTCCAAAGCCTTAAAACCAGCCAGCCTAACCAGGTTAGGAGACCAGTAAACCATTTTAGAATTGTTTTAAATGTTTTTGAGTATGATACAGTCTCGTAGTTTTTGAAACACGACCATTACCTCATATAGTAAGATTATAGGCTTTATTGCAGTTGGACCTACATTATTAACATATAATCTCATGACTTACTAAGTGGACCTCCAGGACCGACACCTTGCTCTTTGCATGCGGGTGGAGTTCCGCTCTGCCTTTCGAAGTTGCCTGGATTGGAGAAATAATCCCGCAGGCGAGGCAGCTCGCGTCCGGCTTCGAGCAGCTCGGTGTGCAGCTCCAGGGCCGTGAGGATGCACTGATCCCGGAGCAGCTGCGCGGCGATCGCATCCAGCGACACCCGAGTCTCTGCGCCTCCTCCTCCGATCCCAGCCACCGCAGCGGCCGACGCGGGTATACCGTCCACACCCGGGCTTGTTCTGTTGCTAGACAGCAGAACGGCTGGCTCGGAGTACGCCGGCGGGGAGAAGGGACCGAGGCTATGGCCTTGCGCTTCATCGCTCGGGCTGCGCTCGGTGTCCGCGCCATCCTGCGTCTGCTCCGCTTCCTCCTCCGAATCACTCACGTTAAACGGGTTGACATTACCCGCCGCCATTTTGCCGTAAGGTGTTCAGCCAGCTATCTGGCTAATAAGTGTCTCCGTCTTCCTGGACGGATGTCAAGAGCGCTTTATTGCTCCTAATCAACGGGGCTTCGGGAAATATGCTTTGGTTGGTGGGGCCGAATGTCATTTCAGCACCCCGCCTCCTCCCTGCCAAGACACGAGCGGAAATGACGTCATGCACTTCGAGTAGCCGGGATCCGCCAAGCGGACGTGCAAAGATCCAATGAGAAAACATAAAAGTAGTCTATCAAAAGAATAAGAATATTTCATAAGTTCATCAAACGCAGAACAGTACAGCAGGCACGCCAGGCTGTCTGTCTGTCGTTCTAAGCTCCAAAGAAAACAAATAATTTAATATATTTAAATATGTTTTATGTGATTAAATATAGCCTATTTAACAAATTAAATTATATGTAATCATCTATCTCTGTCTGTCTGTCGTTCTAAGCTCCAAAGAAAACAAATAATTGAATATACCGGTATTAAATTATATTTAACAATATAATTTAAGACAAGAATTGTGTTTAATAAAATGTAGGCCTAATTACTCTATCTCTTAATTGTTGTATTTAATCTATCGTTCTATATTTTATATAATTAAATATATTTAACATCTTTAATTATATACAATAATTTTTAGAACAAATGTTATATTAAAATAAAATTTAAATATTAAAAATATCTATCCATATATCTATCTGTCTGTCTGTCTGCCTGTCGTTTCATCTGAGGAATTAGAAAATATTAATATAAAGATTTCATATGCAAATGATAAATCTTCAAAGCACTTTGATATCACAATTCAAGATAAAGACAAATAGGTGCACATCAACATTAAAACAGACATGATATTTCATCTCATGACAGACTCATCTAAAATGAAACAGCTGATATAAATCAGATTAACAGCACATGTGCTTTGCTTTGCAAATCCCAAAAATAATAATAGCACTATCCGTACTCTTTTCCAAAGAGAAATTGTTACTGTACCTTATGTTTTGTCTCATTGGGTCTCTTTATTGAACGGAAAATTGATTTGCTGGAGAAAAGTGTGGTTGTTACCACAGAAATATCATCTTAGAAATAAGATTAAAGAAGTTTCTTATAAGCTTATTCATAGATTTTATCCAGCAAATCATTATTTACAAAAATTTAAAAAAGGAATAAATGTAAATTGTATTTTTTGTAATGAGTATGAGGAAACTGCCTTGCACTTATTTTGGTACTGTACATACTCGGTTACACTATGGTGTAAGGTCCAAAAATTTATTAGCGAAAATATTCAGAGTTTAAGACCTTCTTCACTCCTATGGGCAGATGTACTCTTTGGCTTTACTGACTATCCTGACCAAGAGGAACAGTACTTTTACTTAATTAATTTACTTATTCTATTGACCACATTTCACATTCATAAGTGTAAATTTACCAATAAAAAACAAATGTTATGGTTTTGTTGACTGAAATGTGTATATATATTGACAGTATCAGAGACTGTGAATAAGAAAGCTGTAAGAACTTTGAAAGTTTGAGAACTTTACAATATATTTATTTGATTTTATATATACGTACACGTGTATGTGTGTATATCTTGTATTTTTGTTTTGAAGTTTTATACTTTCCTCCCCCTGGCGACTGTTTTTGTTTGTTGTAATTTGTTCTTCTATCTTTTTTATTTCTTATTTTAATGTTGTTTTATTGTGTGTTATTGTTCCTTGAATAAAAAAATTGATTTTATATATACGTACAAGTGTATGTATGTATGTATATCTTGTATTTTTGTTTTGAAGTTTTATACTTTCCTCCCCCTGGCAACTGTTTTTGTTTGTTGTAATTTGTCCTTCTATATTTTTCTTTTTCTTTTCTTATTTTAATATTGTTTCCTTGATAACATATTGTGTGTTATTGTTCTTTGAATAAGAAAATTAAAAAAGCACATGTGCTTTGCATCTGCTTGGCCATCAACAGACGTTCACGTGGCTGCTTGCAACATTATTAGTGATTGTACACAATCAAGACATTTGTTTGTGCCATCTGCTGGACTGAACCAAGCACAGCATGTTTTCAGTTCTGGCCGACTGGCCACATGGTACATTCATTTCTAATTTGCATTTCAGTTCATTTGCATGTAGCCTACATGACTTCTATGCAGTGATGCAATTGTATTACTTAATTAAGTAAACAGCCAAAATAATTTTTTGTTTTTGTTTCTGTGGCAAGGGTATGAGCAGTTCACATGCATGGATCCCATCTATTCATTCTGTTTAACATTTAAAGGTCTGTTTTGCTCTCGATGCACCAAACTACACCAGATTCTATATGTGGATAGCGTTGGATATTTTTCCTCCTTTAAAAAAATTTGAATCAGTGTTTATGTAGCGGAACGGAAGCTATGGTTACCATGGTCATTTTTGTAAGGCCATTCAGTAAAAATAGGACTTTTATTTTGAAACAATCAGCTGCGAGAACAACTTTTGAATGGTTTCTGTTAGTTAGTAGCAGTGGTTCAACATAAGGCGCAATATACTATTAATAGCCGTCTCGTATGGTTGACATTATGCTCACTTTTAAGACGGTCACGTAAAAGTTTCAGGTAAACGAAAGTCAGATCAACCCCTGGACAGGCAAGATTTTTAACAAGTACAAACAAACGGTTGGAATTGATCGCACCGGTTTGATTTGCTTTCCCATTATTGATTCAGAATGCGCTCAAAAATTGCTGTCTTCGATCGGCTGACCACTAGGTTTTGGGACACAGCCATTGTCTGAAGTGTGGGAGGTTAAGGCGCGTGTGTTGTGTTGTTGCCTAACAACCTCTGCGTTTGCAGCGTCTGCACTCCCCGTCCTCTCCATCTCCTCCTCTGAACAAGTCTTTCTTCATTTCCATGCCCAGAGAGCTGCATATTCACTCTTGTGTTATTGATAAGAGCTTCGTCTGATAAGGGATTCTTTCCTGTCTGGAGCTTTTTATTAACTGCTGATTCTGGTTTGGGAGAATATGAGTGTCAACATCAGCAACTTTATGGAGGAGAGAAGGGCGAACACAGAAGAAGCACCTTACATGGAGATGAAGGTAAGCTTAATGTCTAATTAAAATAGTGCCGCTTGATGCGTTTAGGTGTTAAAACATGAACATTTTTATTTCTATGTATTTATAGTGTTTGTCTTTCTTTCATAGACAAGTTTTGGTAACAAGGAGAACATCAGACCTGCTAACAAAACACAACCTTCACAACTCAAACAGACCAAAGGCAGGATAAATTCCAATATAATTTCAGGCGAAATCATATAGGAAATACTTGATATTGGATATTACATTTTAAAATCAGTGTCTGTTCTTTCTCAGTTTTGCTATTGGAGATGTTTCATATTGTCGTCTTATTTCCAGAAGAGAGTTTTGGCCTCAGTTTACCTCTTGGAGAGGAATATGAAAGAAAAAAGCAGAAGTTAAAGCAAGAACTACGTCTCGATTACCGGCGCTTTATGTCTGAGGTACACTATGCTCCTCTGATATAATATAACGTAATATAATATTTAAATAAATATTTGAAATATACTGTATAATAAATTACTTGCACACCTGTTTTTCTTTTGTTTGGTTTTTTAACTACATATTTAAATAGTTTGTTAATAATTTTTTAATTATTATTTTTTTTTAAATAAAGATTTCATTAATCTTATTTGTTCCTTAGAAAAAAAATCAAATTATTGCTGATCCACTTCCACAGTCCCACATGCTGTCTCTTCCCATAAAAGAACGGAGATCAGCGAAAGTAAATATGTGTTTGTTGTCCATCTGTAAATGAAGGCATGATTACAGCAAATTCCGCATTTCATGCCAGGACCTGCTTCAGTCCATTGCACAACGACCCACCCTTACTGTTTGGCAAGCCCTCAGTGACATGAAAAATGATTTGCTTACTCTGAGTGGATAAAGTATCTAGTGGCAACCAGTTTATTGCTACACTACACACTACACTTTTGAAATTTGAGATTCGTACAAACATAGCGGTCTTAAACAATTAACATTATTCCTAGTATATTATTACCATAGAAATGTTTTATGTTTTGTTCTGTTAATGTAACAGTTTTGTGATTCTACCCAGGAAAAACTGCAGGATGAGAGGAACAAGGAATATAATATGTTTCTCCGAAGGCAAGAGGGAGCACAGAAAAATGGGAAAACTTCAGCTACCCCACAGGTATGAATGAAATAAAACACTAGTTTGTTGAAATATGACCTATACATCAACATTAGGAATAAGTTACCTTCACAAATGTCCTTATTGAACCATTTAAACATTTTTAAAGAAATAGTTCGCCCAAAAATGAAGATTTGCTGACAATTTATTAACCCTAGGGCCATCCAAGATGTAGATGAGTTTGTTTCTTCATTGGAACGGATTTGGAGAAATGTAGCATTACATCACTTGTTCACCAATGGATCCTCTACAGTGAATGGGTGCTGTCCGAATGAGAGTCCAAACAGCTGATAAAAACATTACGATAATCCACAAGTGATCGAGATGACTCCAGTCCATCAATTAATGTCTTGTGAAGCAAGAAGCTGTGTATTTGTAAGAAACAAATACATCATTAAGATGTTTTAACTTTAAACTGTCACCTCCAGCAAGTCCTCTATCCATAATATTGCTTCCTCCAGTGAAATTTTCATCAAATTTTCATTTTTGGGTGAACTATTCTTTTAAATTCTGTAGACCTGAACTTTGCCTTGAATCCTCAGCATATGTTGATCATGTTTCTGTCAGGCCCTGGAGAGAGATCGCTTTGGCTCTATTACTCCAAAGTACCCTACTGGTTCTCTAGAGGTACAAGCGCAAAGGGCCAGTCAGAGCCTGGAGAACATTGTGTTCTCAAAAAGGGATGTTGCCACTGTGACTGAGCCCATTTCTGGAGTGCCGGATCGCTGGGGAGGCCCTCACCGAGATCACACCAGTACTGACGAGGAAATAGAGCTCCTAGAGAAGGAGAGGCATAGAAATGCACAGGAAGACACAGGCAAAACCAGGAGAGGAGGAAAACACGACAACAGCTCTCACAGGTGCATCTTACATGTTCTCTCTATTGTTGTTTATTCTGGTGGCACTCAGAAGTTGATGTGGTTGTATTTGTGGAAACATAATAATAAGAATAATATTCACTTGAGGGACTTCCGTCTCAAGTCATCACTCTGATG